GTGGCCAGGCTGGTCTCAAACTCCTGACCTCAAGTGATGTGCCCGCCTGGGCCTCCCAAAGTGCTGGGATTACAGGTGTGAACCATCGCACCCGGCCTTTTCCTTTATGGTTTGACTCTGGGACTCCCTCCCCAAGTAAAATCTCTCTTTTACTTGCCCAGATGTATGCCTGAGTGAGACGCAATGAGGCTCATTTTTAAGAAGCATCTTGAGGGCAAAGACTCAGACTCATTCATGAAGTGGTTGCTAGCACACGCAGTGCCTTTCTGTAAATTATAAAAAGGCACTCCCCAGCCCTGGGATGAATGAGAAAAAATGTGCTCTTTCCTCTGGGCTGACAAAGCCTTGAAATAATGAGCATGACTTGGTCAATAGAGCATGGCTGGATTTTTGCCCCCATCTGCCCTCTGCACCCAAGCTGTTTTGTGCAGGGCACAACTTGCAAAACCAAATGCACTCCCCTACGCAGTAACATCTGCCTCCTTCACGGTGTTTGAAGGGATGGCTTCCCAAAGGAAGGGAAGTCAGGAACAGGGAGATAAACAAATAGGGAGGCAGCTTCTGCATCCCAGAAATGGGGCTGAGGCTAGGCCTTACCCTCTTCAGGTGGATTCTGGAGCATAAAGTGAGGCTAAAAGAAGGAATTCTGGCTTCATCAGGAAGAGGCTGCAGGAGGTGGGAGCCAGGTGGGACAGATCAACTGAGGTTTGAAGGAGTTCTCAAATAGTGAGGCAAGCTTTCACAGGGACAGAACGTGTCAGGGGACAAAGGGAGACAAAGGGAGAGGAGCCAAGCAAGAGAAGGTGTCAGTCCATCAGAATCCATGACATTCTTGGCCAGGAGTGGTGGCTCACGCCTGTAATCCTAACACTTTGAGAGGCTGAGGCGGGCAGATCACTTGAGGTCAGGAGTTCAAAACCAGCCTGACCAACATGGTGAAACCCCGTCTGTACTAAAAATACAAAAAAAATTAGCCAGGCGTGGTGGTGGGTGCCTGTAATCCCAGCTACTTGGGAGGCTGAAGCAGGAGAATCACTTGAACCCTGGAGAAGGAGGTTGCAGTGAGCTGAGATGGCACCACTGCACTGCAGCCTGGGCGACAGAATGAGACTGTGTCTCAAAAAAACCCAAAAAACAAAAAACAAACAAACTATGAAATTTCCCCTGGGGTTTCAGACTTTTCTCTCTGGGGGCTGATCCAGCCTTTTCTGGTCCCATGGTGACAGTCCTGCCTGATGCCAGCAGGAATTCAGATTAAAGTCTTGTCCCTGCTTCTCCAGCAGGTGGCAGCTGTGCTCAGGACCCAGTGGCAGCAGAGAGCTGGGCACTCCTCCCTCCATGCTGGTGGGCCTAAGGCCAGGTGACTAAAGTTGCTGCTGTCCCTGGCAGGCCCAGAGGAAAGATTGATGGCACAGGCATTGCTGGGGCTGGCCAACGCAGCCATTGATTTTCATTTAGGAGAATAATTAAATATTAATTTTCACTTTGTTAAGCTGGAGAGGGCGAATAAAGCCAATGCTGACAGTATCAGAGGAAGCTGGGCCATGTTGGAGACCTGCAGATGGAACAGTGAGAGGGGGAAGATGTCCGCAGTCACCATTCTCTCCAGAACCTAAGACGCCTGTCTGTTACCTAGTTGTCTCAGGTCACAGTACAGTGGTTAAGTGAATGAGCTCTAGGGCCAGATTAACTGGGCCCAAAGTCTAGATATTCCCATTATTAACTATATGACCTTGGGCAAGTCACTTGATTCTTATGACTTAGTTTTCTCACCTGTAAAATGGGAATGCCAATAACAATACCTTATTTAGGCCTGGCACAGTGGCTCATGCCTGTAATCCCAGCACTTTGGGAAGCCAAGGTGGATGGATCACTTGAGGCCAGAAGTTCAAGACTAGCCTGGCCAACATGGTGAAACCTCATCTCTACTAAAATTACAAAAATTAGTTGGGCACGGTGGTGTACACCTGTAATCCCAGCTACTCAGGAGGCTGAGGCAGGAGAATTGCTTAAACCCGGGAGGTGGAGGTTGCAGTGAGTCAAGGTCACGGCACTGCACTGCAGCCTAGGCAACATCACGAGACTCTGTCTCAAATACAAACAAACAACCTTCTTTATGGAGGATTAAATGACTTATACCGTGTAAAGTGGCAGAAAGACTAGTATCAATAAATGCTCATTACTATTATTTGCTTTTCACCCCCAGAAATTCTCACAGCACTCTAAGGGCGTCACAGCCCTTATCTCAGGTACCCTTGGCCTCATGGAGCTCTCCAGGTACCCCTTATCTAGCAGAGCCCTGTGTCTTGTGGAAGACAGATGTTTTCCCTCCCCAAGTTTATCTTAATTTTTTGGGGGGGCCTCTCATTTCCTTTAAGGGTAAAGCCCGGCATTCAGAGTTTCATCTTCAACTGCTGCCCTCTGTAGATCTTCCCTCCAGCTTCCCTCCATGCTCATGTGGGCCTCCCCCACAGTGCCAGCTGCATTTCGCACCCACCTGTTCCATCTGTGTCTGCACCTTTACCATGCTGTTTCCCACATGGAATGTTACAGCTTGTCTCATTGACTCTCAGTTCTAGCAGCAGAAGTCATTTGCTCCCATGGTTAGATGAATGATGAGTTCTACTCCTACTCCCACTAATGCTGCTGTTACTATTACTGTTACTATCACTACTACCACCAGCTAACTCGTATTAAGTGCTTATTTTCTGCCGAGAACAGCATTGAGTACTTTAGTTCACTTAATGACTTAGCTCATTTAACCACGACAACAACCCTATGCGTTTAACTTTACAGATGAGGAAATTTAGACTTAGCAGTAAAGACTTGCCCAAAGTCACAAAGCTAGTGAGTGGTGGGACCTGGATCCACAGGCAGGTCTCTCTGACTCAGGAGCTTGCATACAGAGGATCAGTGATGGTGACAAGTTGGTGTTACTTGGCACTTAGTCCCCAAAAGTGAGGCTCAAGGTGCTTCAGTTACTGTGATTGGTTCTAGGAGCTGTCACCCCATTAACAGCTTGATTAGCTCTTGGTGAAGCTTGCTCCATTGCTTGGCAGCTCCAATTCAGAGAAGTGACTTCTTTATACTGAGCTGAAATCAGTGTCTGTTTCTTATATTAACTGATCCGAATCTTGCCTTCTGGGGCCACTCATAGAAAACTAAACCCCTCTTCTAGAATCTGAAGGTAGTTACCCCAACCCCAACAGTAGTACTTATTGAGATCTTACTCTGTGCCAGGCACTTGCTAAGCCTCAAGTAATCCTCACTACAGCCAAGTGAGCTAGGTGTTAGTATAACCCACTCCTCATATCTAAAGAAACTGAAGCTCAGGAGTCCAAGGAACGTGCCCAGAGACACAGAACTGACAAATGGCAGAGCTGGGATTCAAATCCAGTGGGTTGTATGTGTGTGTGTGTGTGTGTGTGTGTGTGTGTGTGTGTGTATTTGTTTTTGAGACTGAGTCTCTGTTGCCCAAGCTGGAGTGCAGTGGCATGATGTTGGCTCACTGCAATCTCCGCCTCCCATGTTCAAGCGATTCTCCTGCCTCAGCCTCCCAAGTAGCTGGAACTACAGGCATCTGCCATGTCCAGCTAGTTTTTGTATTTTTAGTAGAGACAGGGTTTCGCCATGGAGGCCAGGCTGGTCTCGAACTCCTGATCTCAGGTGATCTGCCCGCCTTGGCCTCCCAAAGTGCTAGGATTACAGGTGTGAGCCACCACAATCAGCCTCAAAAACCAGTATTTTTAGTTATTAGCTTATGATGCCTCCTTTTTAAAGTCCCTCTAAGCCCTATCTTCTCTAGTTAAATCATCCCAACTCCTCCAAACTATTATTCCAGATATATCTTGTGCCTTTACTTCATCCTCATCTCTCCTTTTTTTTTTTTTTTTTGAGATGGAGTCTCACTCTGTCGCCCAGGCTGGAGTGCAGTGGCACGATCTAGGCTCACTGCAAGCTCTGCCTCCTAGGTTCATGCCATTCTTCTGCCTCAGCCTCCCGAGTAGCTGGGACTACAGGTGCCTACCACCACACCCGGCTAATTTTTTTGTATGTTTTTAGTAGAGACAGGGTTTCACTGTGTTAGCCAGGATGGTCTCGATCTCCTGATCTGGTGATCCACCCGCCTTGGCCTCCCAAAGTGCTGAGATTACAGGCAAGAGCCACCACGCCTGGCCAACTTTATCCTCATCTTGTTCTTGTAGGCAAATGACTCTCTTAAATCTGAGGCCCAGAACTGGACATAGTCCCAAGTTTGGCCTGTTAATGGCATTTAAATAGTGCTCTGTTCTAGACACACCACTTCTTGGACAAGAGAAAACAAGGCTGTACAGCATGACTTGCTCTTGGTAAACCCATGCTAATTACTAACGATCACCCCTTCATTCTACCACATGGTCAGTAGGTCCCAACTTGCCTCTTGTTGAGTGATTATGCATTAGCCAAGACCAGACCAGGTACCATTGGTGCCTACAAGCCTAGCTGCCTGTAGAATCAGGTCTCCCCTAACTTTAGCCAAGTGTTTGCAGTGTGGAGGGAGGGAAGACAATCTTAGTGAGTCAAGGCACCAAAAAAAAAAAACATTACAGGAAAAGGACTAGAGAGAAGTGCCAGCAAAGACCCTAGAGAAAAAGGGATACCAGTCCAGCAGAACCTCTACCCCATCTATCTGAATACCTGCTCACACCAGTGACAAGTGACACCCAAAGCCATAATTTTAGCCAAGGTGAATAAATTCTAGCTTAGCCCACAACACTGATGCCTCTCCTAAATATGGGTGGAGCGCCTGGCCCAAGGATCTTGAGCCCCTTTTTTGAGTGAGAAGATTGGATGTAACAAAGAATTTGTTGCTGTTCAGGGTATAGGAAGCCCTCTTCTAGAAAGATGATTCTGCTTCTAGTTCTTGGTCCCAACCCAGCCACCACACGCTGCTTTGGCATGCACACAGGGCACTGTCCCCAGCCTGAGGTGATTCCCACCCCCCAACCTGGAGAACTTACCCCTGGCAGGGTCTTCTGCTCGTGCAGTGCACTCTGGGCCTTGAGAGCAGAGTCCCGGGCGCAGTAGGTGAGGAAGGCACAGCCTGAGGAGGAAGAGGCTGGCTCAGGGGGTTTCCTGAAACCCCCAACTATTCTGCTTTGAAATACCCCACTAAGTTGACAAACTTAAGGCCACTCTCCTTTAAACAAGAACTCTGCTTTCTGAGAAGCCTTCTCTGCCTCCCACCTCTGGAGAGAGGGGCTTCATGTGCCTGGGGACCAGTGTCCCAGGCTCACTTTCATTTGCTCCTGGTATCCTGCCCAGAGAACATATGCACCCACACCCAGTCACATGTGCATACAATCCCACATCTCCCCTCCCCACTCCAGTCATAAGTCCTGTTGGGGTTAAACCTCCCTAAGCAGCTTTATCATCATCTTTAACCCAGACTTCCCCTTCCTTTTTGGGTTCAGACTCATGGAGTCTCCCAGGATCAGCCTCAATTCCTTCCCAACTCAGTTTCAGATAGGAGGAGGCAAAAGAGTAAAAGAAGGATTGGGGGCCAACCCCAGCACCTCCCAGCTCTTTTCCATATCTCCCTTCCCTAAGTTTGAAGCTGGGGAATGGATTGATTTGAGACTTAGAAGATGGGATTGGTTTAAAGGCTTCCCATAGGTGGTAGTTTCCAGGGACCCCCTAATCCTGTTCAAGGATCTTGATCTGTCAACCCTCCTAGGGCTTTGAGGTAGGGCTTCTTAAAGAGTTATTGTGCCCCAAATCTGGCTCCTCTAAAAGGGCCAGCAGATATGGGGCAGTGAAGAGGTCTAGGCTGAGCCAAAGTGTCAAGTTCAGCCCTCTCTTTGTTCAGCCTCAGGACCTGTAGCCTGCTAGGAAGCACTGAAGCAGCACTCTCCTCCTTTCCAACAGCCACAGAGCACTCATTCATTCAGAAAATATTTATTGAACACTTACTTATTATGGTGGGGCCTTTTGATGAGCTTGGGGATAGAGTGGCAACAAGACAGACACATTCCCTGCCCTCATGGGGATTAGACAAATCATGAAGGGCCCCTAAACGAGTCCAAAGGGTTGAGTAATGTCTCAAAGAAGGCATTGAGTCCTCAAGAACAAGAACACTGAGTCCTTAACAATCAGGTGATGAAAGGGACGTGATTATTTCAGACAGAGAGAGAAGAATATATGAAGGCTGAATCAAGAATTTGGTGTGTTGGGGAAATGGATAGAAGGTTAGTGTGGCTGGAGGCTGGTGCATGGGGGCAGAGTGGCTAGTGAGGTATGCAGGAAGCAAGTCATATGTAGCCTTGTGGGCCTCAGTCAGATTTTGAACTTTTTCCTAAGAGCAATGGAGAGCCACTTTAAAGGGTTTTAAGCAGATCTGTGAGATAAGATCTGTTTTCAAAAGGAGCCTTCTGAGTGTAGGAGGGAGAACGACTGAAGGAGGAGAAAGTGGATATGGTGAGCCATTAGGAACTTGGGGCAGATTTCCACTTAGACCTCAGCAGATTAGAAAGGCAAATGGAATCATTTTTTTTTCTGGCCTCTTGTACAGTGCTGCCCCCTTCAGATGGGTTTATTGTCGGCCATTCATTGAGGTAAAGGGAACTTAGAGAACTGAGCAAAACTCTTACCATATCAACAGGGAAACTGAAGCCCAGAGAGTGGGTCAGTGGCAGGGCAGGATTTGGAATGTCTTAACTCCCAAACTGGGGTTGTGTTCAAAGCACTTGGGTAACAAGTGGCTGCCTGCCTCGGTATCCAGCCATCAAAAGGAAAATGAGTCACTGTTGCTGGGGGGAGGATGAGGAAGATGTTGACTTGGAGACCCTCCACAATCATCTTGGAAGGCAACACTTGCCTTGGAGAGTTTTGATTTAGTTTGGAAATAAATCACCAAACACCTGATTCCACTTACATCCCTGCTGTGTCTTTTGCCACCAACCCATATCACCCGACATCCAAATCGGGCAGGGTTGCCTGTCTGAAAGGCTCAGGGGCCCAGTTGCTGCCTAAAGAAGCCCCATGTGGACTAGCCAGGATGGAGGGTGGAAGAATGAGGGGAAGAAAAGACAGAGAAGCATGGTTTGAGAGACAGATGAATGAAAGTAACAGGCAGAATTAGAGCTAAATGAAAAGAGAGAGGATGAGGGAACAGTTCAGAGACTCTTGATAGTGAGAAGAGTGAGATTTAAGGGTATTCTATACACTTCCCTTATTGTACAGATGGCCTACAAAGATTAGCTTTGTACTTACATACTGAAATCAATGTCTAAAAATAAGAAAATGAGTTGCTATAGAGGGATGGACAGACAGGCAGGTAGTGGGAGTACATTAGAAGGAATCTAGATGGTGTGGTATTGTTCTTTCACACACCCATTAACACAACCCCACCCCAAAGGGTGGAAGCTGTACTCCTAGCCGGATGGTCCTAGCCCTTCTATTGGCATTTTCTCGAAGTGCCTACATTAGTGTGCCGAGGAACCCCACAAGGCCTCCCAGTTGAAGAGGTGGCAGTCTGATTCCAGCTCTCAGTCCTTAGGAATGTACCTTTAGCTGTTACCCAAGGCCCACCACTCCTCTCTTAGGAAGATCGTGGAGGATAGTTGGTGACTCTTTCCCTGCAAAAATGTGAAACCACAGCATGGTGGTGGTGCGGGGGGAGGATATAAGAGGGTTTCTTCTCAAATCATCTCCCCTTCTCCTGCCCATGTATGACATGTGTCTCTGGCTCTCTTACTCCAGCCCTGCCTGGACAGACTTTTCTGCATGTAAACAAGCCTCCTCCCTCTCTCTACAGGAAGAAAGGGGTGTGGCCGAACCGTGGTGCCTGTGTCTCTCTAGAAAGGGCAGGGAGAAGATCTCCTTCTGTCTCTTCAGCCTGACTCACCCTGAGAATGGGTCTGGATTGTGACCAGCCTGTGAGGGAGGGAAAGAAGGAGGCCATAAAGAGGATTGGGGAGGAGCAAAGAAGAGGCACAGGAGTGGGGGGATTAGAGAAGGAGAGAAGTGTGGATTCAGCTGAGGGAAATCCAAGAGGAAAGGGACACAGGGTGGCAGGAGTTCCCAGCTGAGGTCAGGGTTCTGACCTGGAATCAGAAGAGGTGGAGAGCATTGGGATTCTGGTGAAGGGCAGGAAAGATTGGGCTGTTGTTGAACATGAGTGTGTATTTGGAACTGAGAGCCTCCTGGGAACTGAATTGGATTTTGTGTTAGACAGGTCTGGGTTCTGAAGAAGGGGAGGGTTTGGGTCTCCAGTGTTTTAGGTTGGCAGTCTGAGAGTCAAAAGAAGGCTCTTGAGGGGAATGGCTGGACTAGGAGGCCAGAAGGAGGGGTGCAAGTCCAAGATATGCATGTGAGTGGTTAGGCCTGAGTGAGGCACCACCAGTTGGAGGAGTCAGGAATGGTTGGGTTCAGGGTTTGGGAAATTGAGGGTATTTGAGATCTAGAAGGTGGAGTAAGTTTTCAAATTCTGGAATTTTAGGTCTGATGAGGTGGAGGAGAGGTCCAACTGAAAGGCAGGGACTGCTGGGATGTGAGAGGTGGAGGCCAGGAATTTGGAGGTTAGAGTGGAGAACATGTTAGGGGACCACAGTGATAATCAGAGGGAGGATGTCAGAGAGAAAATTCTGTGATCTGGGAAGGGGGCTGGGCTGAGCTGGGGCTGATGTTGGACTGGTGTTGTACTGGCTCTCGGCAGGGCTAGGGCTGGGGCAGGGCTGGGGTCGGGCCACACTCTAATCGGACTGGGGTTGGGCTGGGCTGGGCTGACCCCGCGCACCTTTGTGGAGGCCGGTGAGCCGGTCCTTCAGCACCGTCAGCTCGTAGATGCGGCCGAACTCCTCGAACAGCGGCTTGAGGTCCTGCTCGTCCAAGCCCCGCGGGATCTGCCCCACGAAGAGCTTGATGGCGTCGTGGTCCTTCATGGGCACAGCGGGGCCGGGATGTAGCCCGCTCATGCCGACGCCGCTGTCCGCGGTGCTGAAACCCAGGCGCGCGCCGGGGCCAGCGGGCTGCGCTGACCCTCCCGGCGCCGCGGCCATGTCCCCGCCCTGTCCGCCCTCCCGCTGGTCCCACCGGTCCCGCCTGTCCCGCCGTCCCCTCCCTGGACCGGTGGCGAGGGCCAGGGGAAGGGGGCGGGGCCCGGGCGGAGAGGGCGGGGGGGCTGCCCAGGGGGCGGGGTCCGGGTGGAGGGGCGTAGAGGGGGTGGGGCGGGCTGGAAAGGGGCGGGGCCGGGGCGGGGCGGGCCCGGGCCGAGGTGGCGGCGGGACGCTGGGGTCTGGCTTGAGGTCCCCGTGCGGCTCTCTCTGGGCTCCCGCCCGAGCTCTCCCGGAGCCGAGCCCCGAGCCCCAGCCCCCGTGCTTGGTGACGTCAGACAGCTGGCCGCCGAGTCTACGCAAATGATTTGCATAATAAGGAAGCACGGCCAATCAGAGTGGGAGTTGACTGGGCTCGCCGGGGGCGGGAGGGGCGGCTGGGCTCACGCGCTCCTGCTTGCCATGGCAACCGGACCCTCGAATGCCCTGTGTGTGTCGAGTGTGTGCGGGCGTGGCCGTGGATCGCGCGTGTGCGCCTTGGGCCGCGTGAGGGGAAGCAGCTTCGTCATGCGTGATGGTGTCTGCAAGAGTTGGAGCTAATCCCCACTGCACACACTGGCACACACAGGCACACGCAAGCACACACACCTCCAAAGGCTGGAGCGTTTCCTGCGGGGGTGGATGGGGATTCCTCTTCTCCATTCCCACTATCAAGCCAGTCCCTCGGAGCCAATCCCACCCCGCCCCATCACACATCTCTGTCTTTGGTGTCTTTAACCACTTTCTTACCCCTGAGCCTCAAACACGTTCGTCTCCCTTGCAGCCTTAAAAAGACAGAAAGAATAAAATAAAAACCCCTTAAACACTCCTTGAACACGGATTCCTCCTTAGGAGAGTGAGGGAACTTAGCCGTACTTACTCAGAACCCGTTATGCACCAGGTGCCGGGTCCATCCCAGTTCGGTGAGTGCAGGAGTGTTCTCTTTTTCCGGAAAAGGAAGCTGAGGTTCTGAGGGTCGAGCAGGTTAGGGCAAGGCCCACCCCAACATTTGTTGGGCCCAGCGCAAAAGAAGAAATGGAAATCGACATACTGTGTGTCTACATATTTAAAAGATACAAATCAAATTACAATTTGTTAAATATGTTTCCCTCTTATTTTCACAAATACGGTTCAGAATTACGAAAACGAAAGACACACATACAGCTACGCTTTTTATATGACTGAAAGTTGGCAAAATATCAGAGCTGACGGAATTTTATTACTCTTGCACATGTCTAGGTATTCTCTTCATGAATCAGTGATGTTTGCACAAAGTAGTAAAACAATGTTTGGACAAAGATGCATACTTCATAAATTATATATTTATTCCATAATGTATTTTTCATGCCTCTTTCAGTAAAATTGCTAATTATTTTAATAGAAATTTCCTTTTTTTTTTTTTTTTTTTTTGATAGGTTCTCATTCTGTCATCCAGGCTGGAGTGCAGTAGTGCGATCTAAGATCACTGCAACCTCAACCTCCTGAGTTCAAGTGATCCTCCCACCTAAGCCTCCCGAATAGCTGGGATGACAGGTGCACGCTACCATGCCTGGCTAACTTTTTTTTTTTTTTGGCTAGAGACTGGGGTTTCACCATTCTGCTCAGGCTTGTCTAGAACTCCTGAGCTCAAGTGATCCACTCACCTTGGTGCCCCAGAGTGTTGGGATTACAAGAGTGTGCCACTGCACCTGGCTTAATAGAGATTTTAACATAACTTGTGTCCATCGACTATTCTAAGAAACTGCGTGAGACCAGCAGTAGCAACTGGAATCATCAAAAAGTTCTTAAAACAATACTCAATTCAGAAGCAAATCATGATTTTTAAATCATTTATTTTTCTGGCTGAGCGTGGTGACTGACACCTGTAATCCCAGCACTTTGGGAGGCCAAGGCGGGCAGATCACTTGAGGTCAGGAGTTCGAGACCAGTCTGGCCAACATGACAATATCCCATCTCTACTAAAAATACAAAAATTAGCCAGGATTGGTGGCCGGATCCTGCTACTTTGGAGGCTGAGGCAGGAGAATCGCTTGAACCCAGGAGGTGGAGGTTGCAATGAGCTGGGATCATGTCACTGCACTCCAGCCTGGGTGATAAGAGTGAGACTCCATCTCAAAAAAAAAAAAAAAAAAAAAAAATGCAGCAGCAAATTGTGATTTTCAAAAATTATTTTTCTGGCAGGATGTGGTGGCTCACACCCGTAATCCCAGCACTTCAGGAGGCCGAGGTGGGTGGGTTGCTTGAGATCAGGAGTTTGAGACCAGCCTGGCCAACATGGCAAAACCCCATTTTTACTAAATGAATAAATAAAATAAAATAAATTATTTTTCTCCTTTAATAGAAAGTTACTCTTTGTAATAAGTTGACCATGAAATGGGTTACTGGAACATTTCATTTTCATTCAGTCCTATGTAATTTTATTTTTTTTTTGAGACGGAGTCTTGCTGTGTCGCCCAGGCTGGAGTGCAGTGGCCCAATCTCAGCTCACTGCAAGCTCCGCCTCCCAGGTTTATGCCATTCTCCTGCCTCACCATGTTAGCCAGGATGGTCTTGATCTCCTGACCTCGTGATCCACCCGTCTCAGCCTCCCAAAGTACTGGGATTACAGGCTTGAGCCACCGCGCCCGGCCCAGCCTTCTATTTTTAGTAGAGATGCAGTTTCACCATGTTGACCAGGCTGGTCTTGACCTCCTGACCTCAAGTGATCTGCCTACCTCAGCCTCCCAAAGTGCTGGGATTACAAGTGAGAGCCACTGTGCCCGGCCCTATATGCTTGCTGATTTTGTCTAATAGTTGTTATCAATTGTTGAGAGAAAGGTGTTGAAGGCTTCAATTGTAATTGTGGATTTGTCTATTTCTCCTTTCAGTTCCATTAGTTTTTGCCTCACAGATTCTGTAGCTCTGTCATTTGGGGCATAAACATTAAAAACTGTGATGCCTTGGTGAATTGATACTTTTATTATTATGTAATGTCACTCTGTTCTTGGTAAACTTTTTGCATGGAGAGTTACTTTGATATTAATATAGCCATTTATGTTTTCTTTTGATTAATCTTTGCAAAATAAACCTTTTTCTATCCTTTTACTTTCAAGCTACCTATATAGTTGTATTTAAGTGAGTTGATTTTAGACAGCATATAATTGGGTCATTTTTTTAAAGTCCATGCTACCAATCTTTGTCTTAGTTGACATATTTAGACTATTTACATTTAATGTAATTATTGGCATTACAGGTATGAGTCTGTAATTTACATTTACATTTAATTAACATTTACATTTAATGTAATTATTGGTATGTTAGGGCTTAAGACTGTCACTTAATTTTTTGTTTTCTTTTTGTTGCCTCTGTTCTTCATTTCTCTTTGCTTTATCTTTCTTCTTGTTTTTAGAGATCGGGTCTTGCTATGTTGCCCATAATGGTCTCAAACTCCTGGCCTCAATCTTTCCACCTTAGCCTCCCAAGTAGCTATGATTACAGGCTTGAGCCACTACACCTGGTTCATTTCTGTTTTGTTTTTCCTGCGCTCTTGTGGATAAAGTGTTTCTTATTCTATACATACATAGCTTATCACAGTCTACTGGTATTGACATTTTGCCAGTTTGAGTGAAGTATAGAAATCTTACCTACTGTTAAGTCCCTTTATACTCCCCCATTTATAATTATCTTAAGTACTTCCTCTATATATTTCAGAACCACTTTAGACAATGTTATCCAATCACCATTTATAAAAAACTCCAGAAGCATTAAAGTCTATGGCATTTACCCATATTTTCCTTCTTTCAGTTGTTTTTTCTTCCTTTCTGATAGTTCAAGATTCCTTCTTTTATCATTTCCTTTACATTTTAAGAACTTCCTTTAGCCATTCTTTTAGAGTAGTTATGCTGGTGACAGATTCTCTAAGTGTTCCTTCATCTGAGAATGTCTTGATCTCCCCTCCATTTCTGAAGGATACTTTTGCTGGATATTGAATTTTGGTTTGGCAGTTCTTTTCTTTCATCGCTTGAAAAATGTGCCACTTCTTTCTGGCCTTTGTGGTATCTGATGAGAGATCCTGTTTTTCTCTTATACATAAGATATTATCATCTCTTTCTCAATTCTATGTTTGTCTTTAACTTTCAGAAGTTTGATTATGATGTGTCCTGATATGGATTTCTTTGGCTTTATCCTGTTTGGGGCTCACTTTGTTTCTTTAATCTGTAGCTTTACATCTTTCGCTAAATTAGAATAGTTTTCAGCCACTATTTCTTCAAGTACTTTTTAAGCCCATCTCCCCTCTCCTCTCTCTCCATGACAGGAGTGTTAGATCTTTTGTTATAATCCCATAGGTCCCTGAGATTCTATCTATTTTCTTTTAAGTCTATTTTCTCTCTGTTGTTCAGATTGGGTAAGTTCTATTGTTCTATCTTCAAGTTCACTGATGCTTTCCTCTATCATTCTCTATTCTGGCATTGAATCCATTGAGTTTTTCATTTTGGTTGTATTTTTTAATTCTAAAATTTCCTTGTGGGCCAGGTTTGGTGGCTCACACCTATAATCCCAGCACTTTGGGAGGCTGAGGCAGGCAGATTACGTGAGGTCAGGAGTTCGAGACCAGCCTGGTCAACATGATGAAACCCTGTCTCTATTAAAAATATAAAAATTAGCTGGGTGTGGCAGCATGTGCCTGTAGTCCCAGCTACTTGGGGGACTGAGGCAGGAGAATAGCTTGAACCAGGAGGTGGAGGTTGCAACGGCCAAGATCATACTACTGCACTCCCATCTGGGCAACAGAGCGAGACTCTGAAAAAAACAAATTTCCATGTGGTCTTCATTTACATTTTCTATTTTTTTCTAAGACTTTCTATTTTTCCATTTGTTTCAAGTGTGTTTGCAGTTGCTTATGATGCATTTCATGATGGCTGCTTAAAAATTCTTGACAGATAATTCTAATATGTGTGTCATCTCAGTGTTGATGCCTATTGATTAACTTTTCTCGTTAAAGTTGAGAGTGTCTCGATTCTTAGTATAATGAGAGATTTTCAATTGATTCCTGAACATTTTGGGTATTTTATTATGAGACTCTGGATCTTATTTAAATGTTATATCTAATTTAAATATGTTTAGCAGGCCTTCTTTGACCCCCAACTAGTGAGGAAACAAGGACACTACCTTGTTATTGTGAGATAAGGGTGGAAGTTAAGGTTTCCTACTAGGTCTCTGCTGAAACCACCTCGAATGAAAGGGAAGGTGGCCTCATTACTGCTGGGCGGGAGTGAAAGCTTCCAATTAGAGACTCCTATGATGTTACTCTATCAAGAAGGGAGAAAAGTCCCATGTGGTCTCCACTGAACCCATAAGGGGCATATCTGTTAATGCTGGGTGGGTATACAAGTCCTAGTTCCTCGTTTGACATTCTCTGATGACACTTTGATGGCAGGTGGGAGAAGGGGCCTTGTTACATCCATAGCCTAGACTAGTTGAATCAGAATTGCTGGGGTAGGACTCAGGCATCAGCATGTTTTAAAGCTCCCTTGTTGAATCCAATGTGTGTGGAAGCAAGGTTAAGAATTACTGCTCTAGAACTTCCTTTAGTCAAGAGACTGTTGGTGATAAGCTCTGCTTTGCTTATCTGGAAATTCTTTATTTCGAGTCACTTCTTGAATAATAACTTAGTAAATATATAATTACAATTATTTTCTCTTACTTTTACTTTGAAGATATTATTTCACCATACTTTGGTTTCCATTTTTGCTTATGAGACATCAACTGGCAGTCAATTTGCAGGTACTTAGTGTTTCCCTGACTGCTCTTAAGATCTTTTGATTTCTTTTGGCAATCTTCACTTTTACAAGGATGTGTTTAATTGCTTAAAAAATCTTGTGCTTTCTAAATCTGCACATTTATGTTTTCCCTCAATTCTAGAGGATTGTCAGACATTGTTTCCTCAGTTATTTTCTCTCTCTCATGTGGTGTGATGTGCTGCCATTGTGATGTGATGGTCAGGACCTCCCTTCCCCCAACCCTTCAGTGAACAATGTGTTGTTATAGTTTAGGGGAGTGCTGTCCCCTTCAGAGTTTG